ACATCACTGAGAAACCGAACCATTTGAACTGTGAGCTGCAAGGGAAAGGTAAAACTGTTGCTGACATAAGTGCTGTAAACGCATTTAAAGCTAAGATGAACATTTTCTCTGTGCATTTACATAGAAAAAAAGTGCTGCACATTCCCTCCGTACAGTCAGTGTTGAATGACGATGCTTCAGCATCTGGGGCTTCTGACAAAGCTAGAAAAGTCCTCTCAAGTCATAAACAGACTAGGGCAAGAGTTTGAGAACAGGTTTTGTGACTTTGATCAACTTGAGCCATGTGTGTCATTCGTTTCAAATCCTTTCATGCAAGTGGACATGACATGCATTGCTGAGCAACTAAGTGCTACGTTCAACTTGGATGCTGGACAGGTGGAGATTGAAATCGTAACATTGTAAAATGACCTCCACCTCAAAACCCATCAGTCTGCACCAGTGGTGGGCCGTGCATGTTATAGCTGGGCCTTCACTGCTGTCCTGCTGCTGAAACACCTCCTAATAACCTCATGATGGCGCCACAGCTTAAATTGTGGGAAATATGATGTTTTCTGCGCTCACGTAGGAGACAACTGGCTGTGTGACCTCTGAACCCGGAACAACAAAAAGCAGCTGAGGGACCGCACGAGGCTACGCTACACTAGCTTAATGGGAAAACAACAGCAGAACACGCATTCTGCTGCACACTGGAGGGCCATTCAGATGTCAGATGTAAAGAAACAAACCAGTTGACTTAAAGACAAACTCCATCCTCCTTTCTTTGTTGACTAAGAGTTAATCCGGTTAAATCCCAACTCACAAATCAGTTTCTCCTCCTTCAGCCATTGAGTGTTAAAAAAACAAAGCTAGGTAAAATAATAATAATCTACACCAAGCAAAATGCAAAAAATCTCATAATTTCTTCCATATCTTTCAATTTGAACTCTCACTACTCCGACTAAGCCTCTGATGGCTACTTTAAGTTTTGTTTCACGATAGTCACGTGCTCGCCCACTGACCAATCACAGCACACGCTGCACCTCACTGCAGAGCTGCACCTGAACACTGAGCTGCACGTAATGCTGACGTAGCTATAGGCCAGCTAGCAGGCTCTGACACGTCAAAGAATACGCCCAACATGTCAAACTAAAGACCTGATTGGTTGAACACTATGACAATCATCAATATCGTCCCCATTCACTTAAACTGCACATGGATTCACTTGTGAGTCTGCAGGCCTCTGCCTCTGTTCTTACCTAGAGACACAGAGGTGAGATCTGATTGGATAAAAGCTCTACTTAAAACAAGCTGCACTGGAAGCAGAGCAACTGAGGAAGACAGTAGCTGTGCAATGAGAACATAAGATAATGGGGAAAATATGTTTATGAATTACAATACATGTAGTGTATTTATGAAGAATTATTAAATTATAAAATAGTTACAACTTTGTGATTGTGTTTAGGCCAGCAGAGAAGGCCTTGCAGGCCCTGACGGCCCACCGCTGGTCTGCAACAAAGGTACAAAGGTACAAAGGTACAAAGGTGTATGCACAGCAGCTATGAAAGTTGCCTGCCTTTTTGGTTCAACCTATCTCTGTGAATCAGCCTTTTCTGACATGAACTTCATCAAGAACAAACACAGAACTTATTGATGCACAAGACTCACTCAGAGTTGCAGTGTCAAATTATACACCAGATTACAGTACATTGGTGAAGAGTATGCACGAACAGACATTTACAGACAAAGAAAGAGATAACATAATGTTTTCATTGAAAACAACATTAAACTCAAATATTGCACAAAAATGTGAAAAATAATTTGTTCAAAGATGTTATGATTTGTTGCGTGATTAGTACTAATGTAATAGGATTCATTTAAAAAAAGTGAAAGAGTTGATTTTTTATCTTACATAACTGATCATTTGTATAAACATGGGACTTGTTACAGTCCTGACTTTCAAATGTTGAAACAGATTAACAGAAATAAATGTTGCATGTTTATATATATCTGTGTTTCCTACCATCATTGTTAATAATTATTGTGAGGAATAATTAACATTGACATGTGATCAGACAGTCTCTTCACATTTATTATTATTATTATTATTAAAAGGTGATCTGTGCAACCTTGTTATTTATGAAGTTTGTATCAAACAAGTAGCTCTTCGTACCACTCGGTACCCTTGAAGTAGCTCTCAGTTTCAAAAAGGTTGGTGACCCCTGCTCTAAACTGTACTGTGACTTTCTCATGACTGTTTTGATATATATATATATATATATATATATATATATATATTCATTCTATACTATGCCTGTTTTTAACAAGTTATAATTGATAACTGCATTTATGACCTTTAGGACTATATTACTTTTTTATGACTTTTCTCGACACACTATAGTCTGACTTTTTTTTATGACTGAGTATTCCATAACTTTTTCGACATAATATACAATTTTTTGACTTGTTGCAGTGTTTTCTTTTGACATACTATGCTTTTACTTTGTCATGACTTCTTTCGACATTCTGTATCTTCTGAAGTTTTTCAGTGACATACTATATTGTGATTTTTTTGGACATACTATACTATGACTTATTTATGACTTTTTAAACATACTTTACTATGACTTTTTAATTACTTTCTTCGACATACTATTACTTTTTTATGACTTTTTTGAGATATTATACAATGGCTATACCGTGCCTTTGTATGGCTTTTTGAAACATACTATACGATGATTTTTTTATTACTGAGATACGAAAGAAAGGGTCTACTGATATTCAAGATATTCAAAGGATTGATAGTTACCAAAAGACAGAAGTATACATTGTAAGAAGTGATATATAAAACTGCAAGCCCTCCAACATGTTCGAGTGGCCCAGGACAGGAAGCTGTAGTTAGGGGGTGAGGCCGCAATCATTTCCTTAAACCCAGTTTGATCGAGCCAAGTTTCCCTTAGTAAGAAGCAATCCACTGTATGAGAGGTAATTAAATCACTTCTACTGTCTACTGATCTAATATTAAATGAAGCCATGGATAAAGAAGAAGGCCTCAGAGTGTTAGTGTGTCCCAGAGGTCTCTCAGGTTCTCATTAGATGTGTGGTGGTGGACAGTTCTATGATTCGCGACCACATCAATGTGAAGTGTTAATGAGCTTTTTTATATCAACAGAAGTTGAACTTTCTGTTTCGTACAGTTGATGAACTGGCTGATCCTCTTCAACCAATACCTGTTGAGCTCCACCCTTCAGAGAAATGTCATGAATTAAAACCAACCTCGCTCCTCTTCAGCGTAGTGAGCATGTGCTCCCGACCCAGTGTCTTAAGTTATTACAGATGTTTTCATCTGTTTGGTAGATGATGTCCTTGGGATTGATAATGCTGTAGTTTTGCCTGCAGTTTCTAACAAAAACAAGTAATCAAGATGTTTCTGATTTAGAGAGTGATGCAAAGAGATTCCCTTTGTAAAAACCTTTTGACTCTAACATGTCAACAAAATGAAACAAGAATTATCCAGTGTTCAGATTTCTGTGAGTATGCCTCAACTGCATATATTTCAGAAAACTTGCAATACAAAAACGAATTGTTTTAATGTAAGTAATCAACTGGGGAAGATTAATGGTGATAATCTGGCTAAAAAGTTTTCACCTGCAGTGTCTCCCCATAACATTTATATCTGCAGTTCCCCTTTGAGCCACACGAGGAGCCTGGGTGTGTGTCCTGTTCTGATAACTGTAGTCTACTTATAAACATTCGGAGAACCTGATAACCCCCACTAAATGCATTCATTTGGTGTCATTTATAAAGTATTTAACACGTGTATATATTTATATATAGTTACAAATGCATAAAATGTGTAATTTATCAAACGTGCACCTCTTTAAAGCGGCTGGTTTTACCTATTCAAGATAATATGAGGTTATGCGGAAAAATAGAAGTAAAAATGTTCACAAATTCTCTCTTCACGCGATTTATAGATCGATCGATAGATATTGTGAAATTGGGTGATTGTCATTTTCAAAAAGTTCATCCCAAGAAAAAAGATAGACAAACGCTGGTATTGTATGTAATATACATATCATGAAAAAGGGCCAAGTATGCCATAGAAATGTAAAAAAAATGTCACATATAGTATGAGATAAAAAAACCTTTGGAACGCATAATTGCACAGAACGAGGACGGCAGATTTTCTCCCCCATCACTTGTCCTTTACAGCCAGTGTGGAGAGGAGAACGGATTACAGCAGCCAATACCTCCGTCAGTTCACACAGATGCATGTCTGTGTTGTTTTAAGAAGCTTTCAGAACCAGCGTCAATGATGATTTGCAATGAAGCGTCAATGATGATTTGCAATGAAGCGTCAATGATGATTTGCAATGAAGCGTCAATGATGATTTGCACTGTATATCTGTGCTCTTTTTCAGCCAGAGGGTAAAAGCCGTAAAAAAATAAAATAAAAGAGGGATTCTGACTCCTGGTGTGAGTGCATTGTGGCCTCCGCACTCACAGTGAGGCAATTGTTCAGATGTTTAGGTTCAGTTCAGTTCAGATGTTTGGTGTTTAGGTCATGTCCTCAACGAGGGGTGCATCATGAAAGGAATGAGCATCACGCAGCCGCATGAACAAGAGTATGACCAGGGTTGTGCCTGATGTCACACTGAACAACCATATGTTCACCCCATGTACAATGCAATACATTCTCACCAGGCAGTCCTTATGTAACTAGAGATCATCTGTTATTGCAGTGATCCTCTAGTTTTCCCTCAGAACTCTGTGTGTTGCTGTGGTCTTTGTAATTGACCCATGAGGCTTTCTTTGTAGTGTGAATATTATTCTGATCATTCCATCACACTGCCAACATGAAACCTGCTTTCACACAGCAAGACCCCTGACACTGAATCTCTATTGTTACACTGAAGATAACAATGCATGTGTATGTTACTTTAACACCGACACACTTCTCTGTGTCCTCAAATGTCCCCAGCCTGCCGCTGAGGGAGCGCGCACATTGGCCTTATTGTCTTCTGACACTTTGTCTCTGCTGTGACCCCCGGGCCTGCGTCCGGTGGGTGAGGCACAGAGGAGCAGGAGATAAGACGCATCCACACCGCTTGCAGACGGAGCTCAATCTTCATGCCTTAATTTGTCCAAAATAAAAAAGGTTGTGAAACTTTACGATGTGGTGACGGCAGAGTGACAACTGACGTGCGTGTGGAATTCACCATGTTGCTTGAGTACTGTGAGTCAGTCAGCTACAACACAGGATGAGACACACTGCTGGAAAAAGAAGAAGTGGCTGAAATTTAGATCCAGCAAAAAGGTAGGAATGTTTAAAAATCCGTATGTATTAATGCGTGGGACTGCATGTGAAACTTTGTCATGCAACCAAACGTGGGAGACCTGCAAGCTAAGCCCTGACCACAGTACTCTCAGCTGGTATCCTTCCTGCATTCTCTCAGAGACGCACCCGGGCCTGTTCGGGCTGGTTGTGAGTGTGTTGTGAATCTGTCGTCAATAAGGAAGTCGCTGTGACAGGTTCAGGAGAAGGTGTGGCCTCACACAGCATGCAGATAGACACAGCATAAAGTCCTGATCAGAGCACCGATCTGCTCTGTTACAGTGAGACCGTCTGCACTCGAGACAATGACGGGAACACTCCTATTGTGGGTCCTCATCCTATATGCCTCGCTCAAGCCCTCAGGTGAGTCACTGGATACTGTTACCTCCACTCGGCCCAGGGGCCGATTAATAACTAAAGCCTGTCCTAGCCTGTTTATTTGAAGCACTTGTGGGCGTCTGCTCCTGAGGCATAAAGTAAAACACATGATTAAATGTGATATGATATATTGTTTTATAAATAAAATGACTGTTCTGAAGACTTAAAGGCACCATGTAGCTTCCATCCGTTTCAAGATAATGAATGATTTGTCTCCATCTGAATATATGTTCGATACCTTTCACTGAGTTTAACCCTGCATCAGTGATAATGGAGCTTTTTGGACCTAATGCTTTTGCAACATGTGATTAGAAAGGGAATCCTAAAGAGTGACCGACCAAGTAATGAGCCCTCACTGCTGTCGTTACACTGTAGACACTCTATACCGTCTAATAAACGCTTCCTATGCCAAGAGAACCAATGGGGCATTACTTTAGACATACTGCTGCTTTGTGACACACCGTCGAGGCCGGACTTCCAATCACAGCAAAGCTCCCGCCCTTGTCAGGTGCTACAGCGTAACAGGCCATGTAATACCTCCATGTTTGGTTAAGGAGCTACGATGAGGTGGAAGATGTCGACGAGAAAAAAGGATCCAGTCTGTAAAGCTGCAATTGTTTTTACTAACATACGGCTTCTGTTTTGTCATTTAAAAAATAAGTAGGCTTATAGCTTTGGGGTGTCATTGTTTTTCTGTCTTTTCTGCATGGGCCATGGGGCTAGAGCAGATATTCTCACCTTGAGGGTCAGGGCCCTTATGGGGGTCATTCAGTATGCAGACGGGGTCACAGGAGGTGCATCAAACTGAGAAAATAAACCCTGAGCTATTGGCTCATTTGCTGCCCTCACCTTTTGCTGCTTTTATGATATTTTCCCAAATTCGTGAAAGGAAATAGTTTGATACAGAACTTTTTTCATTCTTTCCAATTAGGTGGGACGATTGCTACAAATAGTGTGTCTGAACATGTCCTGTTAATGCCGAGGGTTCCTGTACAAACAAGATGTGACGTGTTCATTTGTGATCTTCAGAGGGGCTTGTAGGTGGATATTGTTGCCTTTGGACAGAGACGGAACAGCTGTTTCCAGCTTTTATGCTAAGCTAACCATCAGACATGGGAGTGGCATCAATCTTGTCATTTAAAAGGACAGTGTGGAACAACAACACCGACACATGCGAAGCACGATCAGATATGCCGCTGTGGTGAAGTGAACCAAGTGAAGTTAAGGATACTAAAAGTTTACGGCAGCTAAGCTTGTTACTGTACGTGCAATAAAATATTCGAAAGTAAAACGCCAATACTTTATCAGTACATCTGTGAACATGTAAACGAAAGTGACGAAAGTAACCTAATTCAGTTGGCCGCCACCGCTGCTATGTTCACACAATTATAGCACGAATGATCGGCAAAAGGGTTTTTTAGTCGGCTGAGACAAAGCAGCCAGGAGGACAGAGGACAGAAGGACAGAAGGACAGAGGACAGGAGGACAGGAGGACAGAGGGACAGGAGGACAGGAGGACAGGAGGACAGAGGACGGAGGACGGAGGACAGAAGGACAGAAGGACAGAGGACAGGAGGACAGGAGGACAGAGGACAGGAGGACAGAGGACAGGAGGACAGAAGGACAGGAGGACAGGAGGACAGAGGACAGGAGGACAGAGGACAGGAGGACAGAGGACAGGAGGACAGGAGGACAGAGGACAGAAGGACAGAGGACAGAAGGACAGAGGACAGGAGGGATGACTGATAGTTATGGATGTCTGTGTTCTTCATTCTTTATAAAATTCACTCAGAAATGTTATTTATTTTATTGACATTTTATGTTTGTTTCCAGTCTGACTTTATATAGTGACTTTACTGTTGCTGCTCTAGAAACAACATTTAGTTATAGCTACTGTAGTTCTCCGACATGCTTGGAAAGGGGAGGGGCTGAGCTGAGGGGACCTTTGGGGCGACTGTGGCTCGCTGGGTTAAGAGGGTTGTCTGGTAACTGCAAGGTCAACAGTTCAATCCTTGACTGGGATGTATCATGTGTACCTGAGCAATACACTGAACCCCTAATGGCTCCCCGGGCACTTGCCATTAGCAGCCCACTGTTCCCTATCTACAGGGATGGGTCAAATGCAGAGACAAATTTCCCCCTTAAAGGGATCAATATAGTATAAGAAATTAAAATTAGTTGGTTACAACCTGCCACAAACCACTATGTGTCACTAAAACATACACAGTACTCTCATTAAAATGTGATTTGCTATGTAGGTGAATTTACACTGGCCTTGTTTGGACATATGGCAAACTTTGTTATCACTAAGTAACACGATGTGTGTTGTATCTCCACAGAGAGCCATGGCCACGACTTTGACGAGGTGAAGGACTACGAGGTTGTTCGACCCATCAGACTTCACTCAGTTAGAAAGAGACATACAGAGGTGCATTTTTCTGTTTTTCAAATTATAAGGACAATTTGAGCTGTTCTTGCAAACACAGTCAAGTAATGGTTGTGCTGTTAGTCACAGGAAAATAAGACTGCACCTTTCCTTTGCGCAGCATCTCAGGCCAGAGACCGTTAAGTATGCTATGACGGTGGGAGGAAGAGACATCGAAATGCGACTCGAAAGAAATCAGTAAGTTATTACATCCCTAATGGCATGCCTCTGTGTATTATCGGGGCACATCGATGTTTAAAGGCTACTTCCTGGTTTTATTTCTCTTTTTTCAAGCAAGTTATTTTCAATATCAACATTTGATGTGTTTTAACCCAGATCCCAAAACTAAGTCTGATAAATCATGGATTTGATTATTTTGATCTCTTTTCATCATCAGTGAATTACTCACCAAAGACTACACGGAGACCTACTACCAAGAAGACGGGACTCAAGTCACCACAGCTCCGGATGACGTCGTAAGTATTTTGCCTTTGAGCGGCGAGTTTCAGTTCCCCGTGGATCAGATGTGACTTACCTCAAAGTACAGTGTCTCCTCTAAACCACGTTCTTAAGCTTCGAAGACCAAATTCCACAAATGTTTCTTAGACCTTTTAACAGTTATGCCGTCATGTGAGCAAATGCCAGATAGTTTGGATTTCCTTGTTTGCTGACGCTTTTATCATCCCTGTGTCTTTATCAGGATCACTGCTACTATCATGGGAGCATTGTGAATGACAGCCAGTCATCCGTTAGCATCAGCACTTGTGATGGACTCAGGTGAGGCCCTCAAACCATCCTCTGTTTGACTTTACTTAAAAGTATGAAAGTAGAGTTGAGTTGTCCTTGAATCATCCAAAAACCGGCCACTCCCACATGGTATCTCAAAATAGTGAGGATACAAACAGAGTGAAAGGAGAGAACGTCATGCTAACAATATTATATTGTAATATTGGATTAAACCTAAACGGATGAAGCCAGTGAATCAGATTTCTGTATTGAGGTAACGGAGTTCACTGTAAACCAGTGGTGGAAAGTAACTAAGTACATTGACTAAAGTACTGTACTCAAGTCCAATTTCGAGTTATTTGTTCTTTACTGAAGTATTTCCATTTCACGCTACTTTATACTTCTACTTTATGGCACTTTTTAGTGCACTACATTTACATGACAGTTACTAGTTACTTTTCAGATCAACACTCTTTAAAACATGAGAAACGCATTACCAACTGATCAAAGATTAAACTGGTGTCTACCAATCTTCTTGGCTTGTGACCCCTTACAAAAAGCAGTGTGTATTTGAGGCCTCTTGTTTTATTTCAGATGTCTATGATTTGAGAAAAAGGTCCATGAATGTCCAGAATTAATGGATTATAAACAATGTGTGAGCCTTTGGACAGGTCTTGATCTCAAGTTAGAAACCAATTAATGAACTGAGCTTATTGTATGTGATATATAAAGAGCAGTTACAACAGTATTCCGATTTTGAGTCCATGTTCAAGCATGATTGTCAGCTAGTGACTCTTGAAAGAAAAAACAAAAAGGAACTGAGGGGTGACTCATCCAATGGATTTATTTCTGCCCCAAAGCAACGTCTGTAGACCTAAACGGCGTGATCTCGTTGCAGGGGTTACTTCAGAATGTCGGCCCAGAGGTACTTGATTGAGCCCCTGTCTGGTGGCGACGAGGGGGACCACGCGGTGATGACTTTTAACGACAAGAACTCCACGCCCGCGGTGTGCGGCGTCACTAACACCAGCTGGAGCGACGACTTCGAACCCCCGACAAGCCGGAGCCGCTCCAGATCAGCGGTAACGTCAAAACATCCTGCAAAGAAAAATCAGCAATTTAATGACAAGATGAGACAAATCTAATCATTTTAAAGCTTAGAAAACAGGACATGAATTTAAAATTGTCTTTACCTGCTTTGTTCTTTTGTCCTGAAGGGTATATCTATCATCCAGAAACAAAAATACATTGAGCTCGTCCTTGTTGTTGATAATCGTGCGGTAAGATACACACATGGAAATTCACTGTGAAAACCATAATGTTCAGATTAAACAGGAAGTCATTTTCTTGCTAACTTTGCACAGTTTCTGTGAGTGATTTAGCCAAACATGTCTTTCCAATGTTGGTAAACCTCCACAGATTTTGGTCTGATAAGAATCAGACATCGTTATTTTCGGGGACAAAGTCAGCGATGAATCATTGGGTGATTTATAATGAATCAGCTGCTGAGAAACAGGATGTGACCGTGCTCTAACGTGACCATGTGGTGTTTCAGTATGTGAAGATGCAGCGAGATCAGATACGAGTGAGAAAGAGGATATTTGAAATTGTCAACTTTGTCAACATGGTGAGTCAGTGCTTCTGCTGTTTCTGGGAAAATTGCAGAACACATATGACACACAGCCACTGTCAGCTGCAATCTCTAGAAAATATCTATTTTTGTTACATTTTTTTAATGTCTTTTCCTGATAATTATGTCTCCTTATTTGAAAAAAGTCAACAGTGATGTCCTGCTTGCTTGCAGGTGTACAAGCCACTGAGGACCTTCATTGCTCTGGTGGGGCTGGAGATCTGGTCCGCTCGGGACTTGATCCATGTGACCCCCCCGGCCGGGGCCAACCTGGGGGCTTTCATGAATTGGAGGAACTCTGAGCTGCTGAAAAAGAAAAAGCATGACAACGCACACCTTATCAGGTCTGAACGGTCTCTAGAAGTGGAGACCAACAGTCTCAAATTTTGTAAATTATTAATTATAACGTCTCTATACATGTACTTTTTTTTGTTGCTTACTTATTAACTCCCACTTTCTTTTCTACCATTCACTGTTGTTGCTCTTCGGATTAATAGTTAGCATGGGGCCAGGCTTCAGAATTAACCCGTCATTAACCTGTCATTCTCTATCTCAGTTTAAATTTCTTGATGAAATAGAAAGGTGAGATTTCTGGCTTCCCTCTTAAAAGTGCACAACCAGCCATGTTTCACAAGTTTGACGTTCTTGATGTACAATGAGCTCCATGCACCGGAAGGTTCCACATCAGGCTTGTCTTTGCTCATTGATTGGCTTTTAACATTAGATGTGGTGTAACGGATAATGTTTGCATGTATGAAATACAGAGAACGCCTGTATTATGACAGTCGCACACAATTGCCTCCAGGTAGCATTACTGGCCTTAAGCAATAGCCTGTGTAACTCTAATCAAGAGGAAGAGGCATGTGATCTTGATAAGCTGAACAAACACGTATATGAAAGTTACCTTTGGCTTCCAGGAAGTGCCAACAAGCCGTTGACGTCACATTAACTCTCCTCCCCACAAACAAACAAACATTTTGGAACAGAGTCTTTAAAATACGACTAAGATACTCGGTTATTTTATCACCGCAAAACAAACCACATGTTGCCAATTTAGTTCATGTTGACATGGCGAGTCATTTCATAACCAAACCATTGCTTGTCTTTCAGTGGTATTGACTTTGAAGGAGGAACCGTGGGATTGGCTTACATTGGGACTCTTTGCTCGGGTCACTCTGTTGGAGTAACACAGGTAAGGTGTTCCTGAGAATTAGCTAACAGCATGGCTCTGTCATAATAGGGTCAGTCTGTTGGTCGGTCCACCACTTTGGTCCAGACTGAAATATCTCAACAAACTGTTGGATGGATTGCCATACAATTTTGTACGGAAGTGAGTTTTTCTGTAGCACCATTTATGATTTGCTTTATGACCAAATACCTGCAAAATAAAAACCCTCAGCCTCAACTGTGCTTGTTTTAAGTTCTAAATAGAAAATGTTAGTGTACTAACACACAAAAGTAAGAACACTACCTGCTAAACATTAGCATGTCAGTATTGCTATTGTTAGCATTTAGCTCAAAGCAACACTGTACCTAAGTAGTCCAGTAATAATGTAGCTGACCTCACACAAATAGCAAAATGGCAATTTTACTTGTATTATAAACCATAAAGGTATCCTCTTTCACAAATAGAAAGACTTAGTGAATAATCTGAAAGGAAAAAAAAAAAATGGCCACCATCTGCACGAGTAAAAATGAGTTCCTATTCTCAAGAGTTACAGTCAGAGATGGACAGTTCAGTGGACTGTCCCTCAAGAAAAACATCTGATCTGATCTGCAACATAAAAGTGGTTAGAATCAGACCAACCAGATCTTGGTAGAATAGGTAGAACAATGATGTGATCATAATACATTCCCATCACTGATAAACTGAATGATGACAGAGCTACTACTTGTTTGTTTATGAGTAACAAAATCTGAGGTAGCTAAATTCCCAATAAGTACAAAATTCTGTCTGTGTAGTCAGTGTACATAACTCATATTTTATTAAATTAACATCAGTACACAATCAAAATCGTTTGTCATTTGTGTCCATTACAACATTAATTTGCCAACTAAATTCCCCACTATCATCAATAAGTTACCAAAAATCTGAACTTCTGTTATCTGTTAATAAAGAATTAATAACTTATGAATAACTTCATTAAGAGGAAGTGTAACTTTCTACCAAATGGTGATTTTGAAATTCTTCAACTGTGGTGCAGCACATGTCTAGACTCTGTCATGGGAACATTACTGTGGTCAACAACAAACACAGCAGATTGAGGAAACAGATATTGTGTCTTGTTTGCTTTAAACAAATGTGAAATGCAAATAAAAGGGACTAAATTGAAAGAGTTCCATCTCAGGATCACAATGACCGGCCCATCGCAGTGGCGGCAACCCTGGCTCATGAGATGGGCCATAACCTGGGCATGAACCATGATGACTCCAGCACCTGTGCTTGTTCTGGTGAGAGCTGCATCATGGCTCCAGCACTCAGGTAAGAAAAGTTGATGAAAAAACTATCAAAAAAGTTAGAGTCTTTTGTTTTACAAGCAAATGACAGAAGTTTCATACAATCTTAAATCTACCCAACAGATTTCACTCATCAAAGTTCATGTACAGGGAGCACTACTGCACATGTGAACAAAGTTGTGTGAAGCCCTTTTGTGGCTCCAGAGGGAGCTGTTTGAAATATGAATTGTCAGCATCGGTTGGGTCTGTGATTACAAGTTAGAATAAGGAAAAATAACAGCGGGTTGAGTTAGAAAGGAGTTTTTCCAGAGCTCTGTAGCACGGTTCTCATCTCTGCGTGAGGCTAGCGTTAGCGTTAAGTTGCATTGTGGGTATTGCCAAGTTTTCACAAGAAAGAAGAATGCATAGAATGAAAATGAAAATTTTGAAAGGCTAAACGCCAACAAATATGGATTAAAGCAAAAATATTTAGTTAGACAAAAAACGTGAATTTTGGAAACAATCTTATAAAAATAGATATTGACTTGTACTAAGGACTGAGATAATTATAGAGAGGTGGACACAATGCTGCATCGCTCGCTGGGCGTGTTTACGAGTGAGAAGGTAACAGAATGTTTCATGGTCCTCATATTGCTCTTTCTGACTGCCTGTCGCACTGTCATGGTTTAGTGGGACATTTTAACAATGCAGCTTAACAGAACGGAACTTACATTGTGCGCTCTTCCTGCTATGACAAGTCACAATGTCTCCTGTGAAAAAGACCTATAAGAGCAGGTGGATTCACTCCAAAACCGTTTCTTGGCAGCTTTGTTGAAAGGCTAAAAGGAGACAAGGTGCATTATAAAAAAAAAACAAAAAAACTTGAATCGTCTTATTGTATTTCAAAGAATGTGACTTTGGACTTAAGGAAGTAAAAGTTGTTGTTTTTCTTCCACAGCTGGAATGTTCCTCGGTTTTTCAGTAGCTGCAGCAGCAACGACTACGAGAAATACCTGCTGGGCCGCAGCCCCGACTGCATCCTGGACAAACCGGACTACAGAACCCTGGAGGCTCCTTCAGTCTGCGGGAACGGTTTTTTGGAGAGAGGAGAACAGTGTGACTGTGGCAGTGTGGGGGTAAACGAACTTCATTCAAAACTAATTGAATTCTCCCCTATGTCTCTCAGTCATAAGCCTTGTTGCCACCCCTCGGTATTATTACGGTTTGGAAATGATACCAACGATGTTACAATGTAGCATCTGACAGCATAACAAGTGAAACGCATTCCCTGCGCTGATGTTAAGCAGCGTCAGTGAGTGTCTGCCTCAAGGCTATTGTTTTTTCCAACAGTGAGCCTCAACACCTTGTTTCCTTCGTCTGATCTTGACTCTTTAAGTTTGTTATTTTGCCCAGAGGTATTATTATTATTATTAAGAGAATGAGGCTGTTTGACATGCACCAACACGTTTGAAAATTGCAGTCAATCTTCTTTTCTTTAAACTCTTTTGAAGATGTTTGGGTTGCACATTAAGCAGCAGCTTGTTCAGCTGGCTGTTATTCAGACCTCATAGCCTCCTACCTGCTCACTACAGGGTTCAAACTGCAATCCAATTATTGAAGTTTTTAAATTTATATGTACTTTTAGAATTTTTCAGCTATCTTGAAATTACACAGTTGTGTTCTGTTGTACACTAGTATATTGACAGTAAAGTTAAATTGAATTAATTTGAATATTTACAATGAACAGCCACAGTTTATAAACACTAATTTCAGGCATCAGAATTATTATACTTAACATGGAAAAGCGCCTCACGGTTAAACGACACAGTTAAACACTGATTCATTCCAATCAGCCCGAGAATGTGTTCAGACCTGCTTTAGCTTCTCCTGGTATACGGCAGAGGCACAACAAGCTCCAGCTCTGAGTGTGCTTAGTCGCTCCTCGCCCCCCAACTCCCCCCCCCCCCCCCCATCCCCACCCAAAAAAAGAAAAAGGCGGCATGCTGCAAGAGTGCCTTGTTGCTGAAGATTCCTACCCTTTAATTGATAGAAGCAGGACAAAAGTCAAACTACAATAGAATGTTTTTATTTTTTATGTAAAGATGTATGAAGTTTTTAGTCAAGAATCACAGCCCTTACCTTATATTATATGTTTTTATTACGTACCATTATGGTGCAATACAGCATTCTCTTCTGATAATCTAAATCAAGTAATAAAGAAATACCACGAGAGTATTTCCAAGTATCACAGGACGATGAAAACAAGTAATAGTTCTGAGAAAGGGTCGACTTAGTTGAAGTTCTGTCACAGTTTCTGCCAAATCTCCGCAGTGTTCATGAAGGTCCTAATGAGGGGGCGGGAGGCTCGCTCATCTTCAAAGCAAAAATATACATCGAGATTTCTTTTTTTAAAGGAAAACACATGCAACTCAAAGTAACTCTAAAAGTACGGGAGCATTCCTGAGGGGAACATGACACAAGGAGGCTAAACACAACACGATGAATAGAAGGATTAAATACAGCCTGATGAGTTCTATGTGGCCCCCACAGGAGTGCACTAACCCCTGCTGCAACGCCACCACCTGCACCCTGAAGGAGGGGTCTCAGTGTGCCGAGGGCGAGTGCTGTGAGGACTGTAAGGTGAGTAAATGTGTACTAACACATGCTGCTGTACCTGTTGCAAATCTTCTCATTGTTTGATCTGCTACCGCCCTCTAGTGGTAATCTAAGGTATTACTGGAGTAGGAAATACATTCTCACATTCTTTTAGAATGTTATTCTAAAAGTTATCTGTTATTTAGTTTGTCTGTTATTTTTTTATTTAGTAGTTTGTTTAATAAGTGATCATTTCTGAGATAGTTACCGTGAGAATCTGACACTGTTACAACTCTAGTGTACATGTGAGATGATTTTCAGACACAACAACAAGTCAATCTTGGTCCAGAGGAATGAATGAATGTGTGTATATATATATAAA